CCCGACTCGCAAGGCTAAACGCATCCCTCTCTCCCAGCTACTCATCCAAATCTTCCGAGACCTTGGCGCTGATCTTAAGGTCTACTCGGCCAAGGAGCGGCAGACGGATCTTGCGCGACTTGCGACGGTGTGTCCCTGTCTGCAGCTCTCCTTTCGCTTTCCTCGTTTGTCGCTGACCGTCATCATCTACAGGTGTGCCGAGCATTCCATGCTGCAACAGTACCCCTCCTGTACGGCGACGCCGTCACCTGCCGCAGCGCCGGCCGAACCTACCTTCTCGACCGCTCCCTTCTCGCCAATCCTGATCTTCGCCCGCTCGTCCGCACGCTCGTCATGAAGTCCGAACTCGACAACGGCCACGTCTCGTCCCTCACGTCTGTCCTCCGACATACGCCGTCCCTCGAGAGCCTTGCGCTCGCGAGCTGCTTCTTCGAAGGCGACTCTGGCTTTTCGCCCCTTTTTCCCACACTCTTGTCCGCCACGCATATCCAGCACTTCGCATACGGGTCCGGCAGTCGACTTGATAGGCTCGTCGCCGCCCAGCGCATACTGCCGCGATGGACGCAACTGCGGAGCCTTCGCCTCCACCGCGTCGACCCGCAGGACCTCGCCCTCGTCCATCCCGCACCTACTTATCGACTCGAGGAGTTCTCGCTCGACAACTCGGGCGCACTCCTTCCCGAGAATGCCCACAGCTGCAGCCTGAACGACCTCCTCTGGCTCGTCGGATCACCCGGCGCTCTCGAGTCATTCTCGCTCGTCCACCTTGCCCTTCACTCCGACGCCTTAAAACTGGTCACTCGCCTTGTCGAGCAAGGGCATGCTACAACGCTGTCCCGGCTGACGTTGCTCGGCATCCGGCCGACCCTGCCGCTCGTCGAACGGACATTACTCGATCCAAACGACTTGGCGCCGCTCTTTCCCAGACTTGCGTATCTCGAGTTGGCGGATTACAACCACAACTTTGGGGTACATATCGAGCATCCACATCTCCACTTCGCGATCCCTTCTACCCTTCGGACCCTCGTCCTGCACGACCCACTCGACCAGCATTTCTACTTGCCTCAATCCCTTGCGCGCCAGCGACCAACCAATCTGCGGAACGTCAAGATCATAGGGGCATACCCTACTGCATCACATTCGAGGCGCCTTCAATCGTTGTGTCACGATCTAGGTATTGCGTTCGAGGTGGAGCGGAACTTCTGAGGGTTGCGGGAGGCGACGAGGGGGATGCGATTGCGATGCGGGTCGAACGAGCTAGTTCTATCTACTGCATAGGAATGACTGCAACGATCGCGCCGTCCTTGGCTTCCTTGAACCGCATCCACCGCCCCAGCCTCGGTTCCTTCGAAGTCGCAGCGACGACAATCAGGCTCTTCTGCTCCGGCTCGGCTTTCTTGTCCTTGACGGTGCTGACGGGCGCGAGGTGCGACTCCTTCGCAGGTCGGAGTGAAGGCGCGATGAGCTGGAGCGAGTTGACGAAGCCGGGCGCCTCGATAGTCGTCAGAGGCGAGAAGGACCGGAGGCGCTCGTCGATCTTCCACAGCCGGATCTGGCCATCCCACGAGCCGGAAGCGAAGACGTCGCCGTAGGGAAGGCAGGACAGGGCGGTGATCCACCGAGGCGTGCCGATGATTCCCTCGGTCTCGGACGCGTGCTCGTTGATGCCGTGCGCGAGGTCAACCTTGAAGATTGGCTTCTTCTTCGTGATGAGCCAAAGACAGAGGGTGCCGCTGTCGCCGCCGCTCAGCAACGTCGAGTCGTCGACCATCGCAACGCAGTCGATGCTGCCCTCGACGAACTTGACCGGACCCTTCGCCTCCGCCTGTCGTCGTCTCCGTTTCCGCTCCTCCTCCTCGATGCCCTCATCCTCAAGCGCTCCGTCCAGCACATTCCGCAGCCGACTCGCTCCGCCGCCGCGGAAGACGAGCTGGCTCTCCTCCGTCACCTTCCAGTACCGCACCGTCTTGTCGCGACCTCCTGCCGTTACCGCCAGCTCGCCGCGCAGCGCGTCGATAGACTGGATCGAGTCTTGGTGACCGAAGAGGGTTTCGATGTACGAGAGTGTGGAGAGGTCGAAGAGCTTGACTGTTCGGTCGAAGGAGGACGAGTACAGCTCGTTCGTGCCTAGGCGGAAGGCGATGGACTGCGGCGCACGAGTCAGTACGAACTGATACGAACCTCCGAGAGACTGAACGCACCCCGACAGCGTCCTTGTGTCCGCCAAGTCCTCGCAGCCACTTCCCGCTCTCGCCCTCGACGTTCCAGCATCCGATGACCTTATCCCGCCCCGCACTCGCCAGCATCTTCCCATCATGGCTGATCGCAAGGTCGAGAATCTCGTCCGTGTGACCCTCCGGCACGGTCTCCTTCCCCTTCCCCTTGTCCTTCTCATCGAACCGCTGGTGCTTCTCGCCGTTTCGCTTCTGCGATTCGGATAGCGCTTTGGCGAAGTATGCCGCACGCGTAATTCGTCGAGACTCTGGTGCAGACGAGTCGGCGGATGGGGAAGTAACGGCGGAGAGGTCGTATTTGAGGATGGCGCCGTCTTTGCTTGACGTGTAAAGCCATCGCCCGTCGTGGGAGGCGACCGCTGCGGTAACAGAGCCGCGGTGACCCTTGGCGGGAGTGCGGAAGATGGACGTGGAAGGGATGGGGAGTTGGAGCTGTGGGAGAGACTGTCAGGACCGGAGTAACATGCGCAAGACGGGATACCACGCACAGTCGAAGCTACGCTCAGATGCATCTTGCCCGTATGTTCGAGCTGCATGCGGGAACGAAGTCAGTCCATCTGTGACTGGCGAGAACGGCGAGTTAAGGAGACGCACAACATCCTGCTGCAACCGCTCCGCGATGATGTCCCGGTCCAGATCTGCCGCATCAAAGCCGTACTCCTCTACAACGAGAACCTCGTCAGCTCAGTTCGGAAGCCCCAGAGAGCGAGGGAAGTGCAACGCACCCTCCTTGTCCTTCTCGAGACTCTTGAGGTACATCTGCGACAGCCTCAATCGCTTCTGCGCAGGCGTTTCCAGGTCGTCCTCCTCGTCCGTTCCCTCCTCTGCGCCCTCTGCTTCGTCCGACCCAACCTCATCCGAGTCGAAGTCTCCCCCATCAGCATCGAGCTCCTCGTCGTCCTCCTCGGCCCGTCGCTTGCCCTTGTTCCGCGAGGCGTTCGCACCAGCTCCAGCAACGCCCTTCCGACCGTTCGTCCGCTCTTTGCCGCCCCTCGAGAGAGCCGCGCCGCGAGCAGATGTGCCGTGCCGACTGGCCTGGCGTGAGGTGTTGGCTGCGTCGTCGCGCTTGCGCTTGCTGAACGGGCGCGGCTTGGAGAAGAAAGCGTCGCTCATGGATACAGCTGGCGAGCCGAGCAGTCCAGCAGACGAGCAGCAAGCGAGGTGGAGAGGTTGAAAGACCCCAAGCTCAGGCGACGGCGGAGGTGTCTCGCTCGCCAGGCTGCTATCTCCTGCTTACACAAGAGCACAGACGCTATCTAGATACTGTTCACTCTCGCACTCGCAGCGAAATCCGGACAACATTACTTGCACTTCCTCCGTCCTTCTCCGCCAGACATACAGTCGTGTGGAAGTGTCAAGAAAGACTGCTTCTACGAGGGAGAGGGCTGACCTGGGAGACGTCGGCATAGATATCGAACCGTCTTTGGACGGTCACGGGGATGCCTCTGCGAGCCTTATTGATGGCGTCCATGTCTGTGGCAGCGAGGAGCGAGACGACCAAGTCATTAAGGGACTGCGAGTGCGCTACTTCGCACGGCGTTCAGAGAGTGCGAGGCGAGAGCACTGCACTGCTCGAGCACAGCAAGGGAACGAGCGGACGCACCGATGTCGGCGAACAGAATACCCTCCTTCTCCTCGAGCTTGTCAACGCACTTGCCCCTACGAAGCGGCTGAACGTCAACGCCGACATCTTTCACAAATGTGAAGACCACACTCACATCGGATCGTACACGCCCGAGTGTCCCCAAGCCTTGTAGCCGTCTCCCTCCGTTGCCCGTGCAGGCGAGCACATCGCGACGTAGATCTGGTTGTCAACCGCCCGGGCTCGCTGAAGGAGCTCCCAATGCAGAGGGCCGGTGGTCAGGTTGAAGGCGGAGGGGTAGATCATGGCGATTGCGCCTGCGAGCGAGAGAAGGTCAGCAGGCTTGGAGAGGTCGAAGAAGGAGGGCTCCTCACCTTTTCGTGCGGCAGTCATGGCGAGTTCGGGGAAGCGGACGTCGTAGCAGATGCCGACACCGATTTTGCCGAAGTCTGCGGCGAAGCGACAGCGTCGTTGAGATGAGGGTCAGCGAACGGCGCCAAAGTCAATGCTGACCGGCTCGCTGGTGACTCACCGGTCTCGATGAGCGTCTGCCAGTCTCCACCAGTCAACGTCTCGCTCTCCTTGAATGTGATGCCGCCAGGAATGTCAATATCGAACAGGTGGACCTGCGGAACCGTGCTTGAGAGTCAACCTCGGGAGTTCGGAGGCAGCCGAGCGTCAAGCACGCACCTTGCGGTGGACAGCGACGAGCTTGCCGTCTGGAGAAAACGTTGGCGACGAGTTGTACACCTTGTCGTCAGGCGAGAGTTCCGGGATAGACCCTGTCGCGCAAGTTCTTCGTTAGCTGGCGTTCCGTCACGATAGGGTAGGGATGATTCTGCACACCTCCGATGAGCCAGATGCCGTGCTCCTTCGCCGCCTCGCTCAGCAACTTGACACTCTCGCTCTCCGACTTGGCGACGTCGTAGCTGTCCTTCGTCTCGGGTGACCAGCCGATTCGCTCTGCGTATTTCCTGAAGACGCCAGTAGCATAAGGCGAGTTGAAGATCTCCTGCTCGGCGCGCGAAGACGGTCAACTCGCTTCATCGGCAGGAGGAGGTGGGGAGGAGAGGACTCACGGGAAGAACGACGACGTCCGGCTTCTTGCCTTCCTTTCCACCCTTGACAGCCTGTGCAATCATCTCCTTCGCATGTGCCAGGTTCGCCGCCTTGTCTGTCCCGTCTCCTGCGGCGGCCAGCTGGATCATGGCGAGGCGGAAGTTGCGGCCGACGACGGGAGGAGCAGAGACGGCCATTGTGCGAGAGTGTGCAGTGGCTGATCGGAACAGGCAAGGGGACGCAGTCAAGCGCGAGAGCATCAAGTTGCGAGGCGAGAGAGAGGGAGGCATCCTCGCCAGTGCCGACGGCTTCTTTCGGAGGTCTCGCTTTGACTTGAAGGGACTGTCACGAGCTGCAGGATGCCGATAGTACCACGTTGCAACACAGAGATTGAGGGGAGAGGGATAATTCAGAACGACAGGATTCGCGGGAGTCGTCGAGCGGCTCCTCGCACTGAGAGTGCACGCTCGTTGCGACACAAAAGGATGGCAATGAATGGGACACGTCGAAAAACCGAAAGGAACCGGGAGAGAGGCCGAGGGGCGAGGAGTCGGACGCTACGTAGTGCTCTTGCGCGGCGTTGTTCGCGGGCGAGAGGGCACGTCCCAGTCCCACTGGTGCGTCCGCGTCGGCTGGCTGACCGAGCTCCGTACGAGACCGACGATCCAATCGGGCGAGTAGGCGGGCACGCCGCGAGGCATCTCGGAAGTCGAGGCGCCTGGTTGAGGGAGAGGCTGGAACGAGTCCCGGTCCTCGTCGTCGTCGTGCGCCGAACCTTGCGAGTAGACCGAGAGACGCTTGCCGGCGCCTCCTGCCGACTTCGCAGCGAGAGGGTGATTCTGCGCGGCGGCGGAAGGAGCAGAGGGGAAGGCGGACGAGACGAACGGCGCCGAGGTCGCAGTCGGGAAGGGAAAGTCGGACTCGCTGCTCTCCGCCACGCTGCCCTTCCGTTCGCCGCTCTTGTCGCTCGCCGAGGTGCTTCCCCCAAACCGAGCCGCCTCGACAACCGATCCGCCGGTGTTGGGTCGAGCGGACCCTGCGTCGGTTCCTGATGCCCGCGCGACGCACTCCGCCTGCGCCTGGTACAGCGGGAACGGCAGCCAGTTGAGCTTGGCGCCGGGGAGAGTGACGGACGAGGGGATGATTGCTTTGAGGCAGACGAGGTAGGCGTTCTTGGCGAGACCGTCGGTGCCGTACGTCGAGCCGGGGCGAGCCGTGAGCGGGACGACCGTGGGTATGATACGGAGGCGCGGGAGGATGTGGTTGACGACGTCGAGGCCGAGACTGCGCTCGAGGTAGGGGCGGAGAGTGCCAACGAGCAGGGAGCGGAGCTGAGCCGAAGGGTCGTAGCCGGTGGTCGCGGTAGGCGTGTTGACGAGCTCGAGAAGGCTCTGATCGCCAATCTGTCGAACGGCGTTGACGACGCTGTCGACAGTCGTGACTGCCAAGTTCGACGCGGCAAAGCGAGACCGATCCGCCATCGGGTCGACAAGCGTCGCAAGCTCGACCATCGGCAACGAGTGGTGCTGCCGCTCCTCGACGACGATGTTGAGGCCTTCGCCAGGAAGGGCCTGCAGCATCAGGAGGCCGCCGTACAGCCGGCCGCGATCGAGTCGCTTGACGATGCCGAAACGAGTGAAGCGGTAGACGTCCCGGAAGTATTCGAAGACGCGGTCGTAAGGGACGGCGTAGGCGTTGGCGGTGACGCGGGCGACGGCGCCGGGCTCGGCGAAGACGAAACCGCGAGCGACGAGAGCCTCGCGCTCGGCGTTGTTCTTCAGCCGGCGGGCGAGGACGAGCATCTGGCCCTGGGTCACGGTGAACTGGTCGCCGGAAGACTTGCTCGACACTTGGTAGTGGCCGCTGAATCAAGGTAGGAACAACTCAGCAAGAACTCGGCTGAAGATGGCGGAAAAGAGGCGGGACCCACATCTTCAGGATGCTGTCGTACAGCACGCCGAGCGCCTTGAGGTCCGGCGTACCCGTCACCTCGCTTGCGATCTCCTCGCCGGCCATCTCAAAGCTGAGAACGCTCCGACGGAGCATCTCTGCCTCGGAACCGGTCATCTCCTCCGCCTCGCTCAGCCGCATACTCGGGCCCGAATCTTCGTCCGCCGCACGCTCGCCCTGCGAGCCGTCGCCAGACGAGCTGCCGCCGTGCGTGCCGGGAGCAGCAGACCCTCGCTGCGAGCGCCAGCTCCACGACATCTTGACGAAGGCGACGAAGGCCGGGTCGGACCGCTGGAGTTTGAGCTTGCTCGCCTCAAGACGGAGACGGTTGCCGTCGCCGAGGAGCTGGAAGAGGCTGACTTTTTCTTGCTCGCCCGGCTTGTTCGGGTAGATGCGTGCAGACGGGAGGAGGCCGGACTCGGGGTGGACGAGGAGGAGGCCGTTTTGGTCAAAGATGGCGGTGCTGAGGATGACGCGATGGCGTGAGGCGCGTTGGCGGAGGAGGCGGAGCTGGCCGAAGTAGGCGAAGACGAGGAGAAGGATGCAGCAAATCGGCGCGACAACGCAGATTATGGCGATAATGATCATCTTGGTCGTGTTGTCCGAGCCGGCCTTGAGCGCCTCACCCTGTCGCGCCCAGTAGTGCGTGCCGAGGAGGGCGACAAAGTGCATGAGGGTAACGCCGACAGCGAGAATGCCGGCGACGATGATGCGCTTGTACCAGCTGTGCTGAAGCTTGGGGCGGAAGATGACGAAGAGGATGTAGAGGCCGACGGTGACGCAAAGCATGGCGATGAGGACCGAGAGGAAGACCATGTACCACGAGTTGGTAACGAGAGGAACCGAGTCGATCGAGACCTGTCCGACGTAGTGCATCGCTGCGATGCCTCCGCCGCAGACGATGCCGGCGAGGAGGATCTTGGCGACACCTGAGCCGGACAGGCGAACGCCGCCGACGCCAAAGTCGCCTCCATCCTCCGTCTCCTCGTCCTCGTCCTCGGCCGCGCGCTTCTTCTCCTCGGCGACCTTGTGGTGCCGCTTCGGCAGCGCGATGTCGAATGTCGACGAGAGCGACATCTTGCGGCCGGGCGGGACGTTGAAGCGGGTCTGGCGGCCATCCGCAGGCGAGTCGGCCTTGACATCCGGGTCGAAAGCTGCGCCTGTCGCAAAGTCGGCGTCCTTCTTGTCGAGGTTGTCCGTGCCGTACTCGTCCTCGTACGCGGTGTCCTCGCTCTTCTCGGGCGACGAGGCCTGCTCGACGTCGGCCATGCGCGATCGCCACCCTGGAACGTCGAAGCGGAGACCGATGAAAGAGAAGGCGATGATCATCGAGATGCACGAGACGATGAGCGAGAGGATGGTGAAACCGGCGTTGTACGAGAGGGGCACGCCCGCGCCTTGCCAGGGCGGAGGAAAGTGCAAGGTGACGGCTTGGTTGCCAACCTGCGAGGAGGACGACGTCGTCAACTCGCGCTCGTTGGGCTTCGGTGGGTGCACGGCAGGACTCACAAAGTGCATGCCGAACGTCGCAGTCGAGCCAAAGGCGATACCTGCGCCCAAGAGGAGCATGACGTTCCACCACCCCCTCGTGCCCGTACGCTTCAGGAGCATTTCGAGCGTCGTCCATGCGCCGACGAACGAGACGAGGTAGCTCAGGAAGATGTACACGCCATTGTAATGCGCCTCGAGCTCGATAAAGTCGCCTGCCACCATCCTGTGTGCTTCCGAGAGCGAGCCGTTCGGTCACTTCCCTCCCGCTTAGATCCGCCTGCGCTGCGGCTTAGGAGTGCCGTAGCTGGACTGGCTGTGGTCGGGCTGCCTGCGCTGGCCGTGCGCCGAGTCGAGCACGACGAGACGAGGTTTGGGGACGGGAAGTTCGGGTGTTCCTTCGAGCGTCGGCGGCGAGAGATGCGGGGTGTGTGGGTGGCTGATGAGGCGTCTAAAAGTCTGCACGGGCTGGTCGTCGACACTGCAGCTGTCCAGGCGAGCGTCGCGTCCGTGTTCGCTCTCTCGAGGCGGGAGGAGGCTGTCGAGGGTTGCCCCTGGGCGGACCCGGATGAGCAGGCGGGCGCTGTGTTCCAGGAAGGAGCGCATGCTTCAGCTTTCATCGAGGCCCTCTCAGGGACAACGACAACACTCCCACTTGCGGAAGGTCGAGGCCACCCGCTCTTCCTCGCTTCCCTCGTCTCTTTCGCGTCGCTCTTCTCGTCTGAACGCATCCGACGACGAGCGCTGAACACAGGCTGGCGCTGCGGCGGCAGAGACGTCGCTTGGTTCGTTCCCGCCGTCCAATCCATCAAGGAAGACGCAACATTTCTCCTCCGCTGCTGTTCCACCGACCCGCAATTGCCGTCTCATCAAGGCAATTGTCGCACTCTAGGAGTTGGTCGGGCTTGCGCTCGTTCCGACTTGGCCTCCGTCAGATTGCGCAGGCGAGCACGGGGTGAGTGCGTCGTCGTCGTCGCTCACAGCTCAGGCGCGGGTGCGTGTGCTCGTTCTCCGCAACGGACTCCGCACTCGTCGAGGACGCCCACCCGCCCAGCTGCTCTCCGCCGCTGCGACGTCGTTCATTCCTGGGAAGATCGTCGCACGAATGAAAAGCGTCGCCGCGATTCCAGCCAATTTTGCTGGCGGACCTTCCTCCGCCGTCTCTTCCCTCCTGCGCTTGCGAGTGACACAACACTCGCCTCGTCACCATTGTGCCCAGCAGTCCAGGGGATGCTGCGCCGTATGAAGCGAGCGGACTCAGAATTCGCCTCACGCTCCCGCAACACCGTTTCTCCGCCTAGCGCAACTCTCTCGCTAGCGCATGCTAAGCGCACATTTACCTTCATGAAGACGCTCGCACTCACTTCCCAGCGCGGAGGTTCGCACGTTGCGAGACCAGCAACGTTGCCGCAGACCTTCGCCTTTTGAACGTCTAATTACTGCGACGACGAGCATCCAAGTCCTGCCAGCGACAGCATCCTGCTAGGCAGGCTAGCAGGACTGATTTTACCCAGGACAATGTGACTTCGTGCCGCTGAGCCCGCTTCAAGGCCCTCGCATGCGACTTCGCCTCCTCTCCCTTCGCCCCTCCCCTCCGCCTCTCCCTCTCCCTATCAAACGTGCTCACGCCGCGCTACTAGCTCGCCGGTTCGCCGATGGAAGCACAACCCGCATGGACACGCTGTTCTCCTCGGACCCGCGCGGACCCGCACTCGACTCCTCTCGCCGCTCGGTCTTCGCGCCATGCTGGCGTTCGTCTCTCTCGCACCGCCACCGCGCTGTGACTGTCGCTTGCTCCCACTCGAGGCGGCACCGCTAGGATCCAGCGCATCGCCCAGCTAGGACTGCTTCCTTGACCCACCGCCTGCGTTCGCTTCTTCGCGTTCAGGCCTCGTCACGTTCGCCACCTTCGACCATGAGTAACGACATCGGAGCGCTATTGGTGAGTCACATAGCGTTAAAATACAGCTTTCAGGAGCTGACAGAGCCGCTCGGACGCAGGGACAAGCCCAGCAAGCGGCCTCACAAGGGCAGAACCCGTGGACCGCGATCCGAACCGCCTTCTACGACTCAGTCAGGCCGCAGTACCCAGGCTACTTCGTCAACCAGATGTACGCGCTGTCAGCGCTGATCGCCGTCGCGACCGTCCTCCTCGGGTTGTGCATGGTCGTCAAGATGAAGCAAGGGACCTTCTGGCTCGTCCGCATCCATCGAGCCACGGGCGGCTCTTTCGTCGTCCTGCACTACGCCAACACCTATTCGACGCTCTTCTTCTTGTTCTACGCCGTCCTGCAAGGCTACATGTGCGTTCGAGCCGCTCTTTCGCTCCCTTCTCCTCCTGCGGTCGTTTCTCCCTTGCTGAGTCATTGCACCTGTAGCTGGCAGACAGAGCGGTACACGACGGGTCAATGGGCACCGAACAACGACGTTTGGTTCGTCCTACTTGCCGTCCTCCTTTCTCCTCTCGATCGTCTGAAGCTGACTGATCCGATGTCACCGCAGGCGCATGGTCGTCTGGATTCCAGGATGGCTCGCTTTCTGGCTCGCAGCGTGGTCGCTAGCCGTTTCTCGTCCGTCTGCGCCTTTCCTCCCGTGCAACACCTCAAACTCATCCCTTGCCTGCGCAGACATCCTCCACCTCGACTCCTCCGGCCGCCCAGCACGCACCTTCCTCGCTGAAGCGTGGTTCGTCAACGCTATCGGCTTTGCGGTTCCTGCCGGCACGACTGCGGCAGTCGCCGTTTTGTCCTGGCGCGCGCACCACTTCTACAGCGCTGCGCTCGACACTTACTCGACGCTGGACTCGGCGCTTGCGGGACTGGAGAAATCCTAGTGTGTCCCGTCTATTGAAAGTCTCGTTGGGCTGAGCGTAGCTGACGTTGGATTCGCTTCGTCCAGCAACGGGACGTTCAACCCGAGCGCTTTCGCAGGACAAGGCGCCGAGCTCTACAAGCACTTTGAGGACAACCTCGAGACATTCGGACTGTGCGTGCTTTCCCAGCGACGCAAGTGCAGGACTCCCGCTGATCCCTCGTCCACAGCTTCTTCCGATGGGGTTCGCTCAGTCCGCCTCCTCGATTGTTATGACCTCATACTGATGTCGGTCGCACAGTCTTCATCGCCTACCTGATCGCCAGTATGACTCTCTTCTTCGTCCTCGTCGCGACCGCAACGCTTCATCTCGTACGTCCCGGCTTCCCGAGCAGCCTGAGTTTGTTAGCTGACAGCTCTGGGTACAGCGCGAGCTCCGAAAGACGATGAACGAGCTCACGAACCGGGCGCACCAGTCGGAGGAGGCTCGCGAGCAGGAGGCGGTCATCAAGCGCGGTTACGACGGACTCGTCCAGGTCACGTACTCGATTATCACAGCTTCCGTGTGCGTTCACACACCTCGTCTGTGGTTCGAGTGCAACACTCATCGCGGCTTTCTTGCAGTGCGATCAATGTCCTCTTTACCTTCGTTAGCGCAGCGGGACGAAAGGTCATCTTCGACCGCAACTTTGCCGAGGTCGCCTCATTACTCCCACTGTACGTACAGCGAGCGACCCTTCCCTCGGTGGCTATCGCTGTATCGTCTCAGCGCTGACCTTCCCAGTTTCGCGCGTAGCTGGCTCTTCGCCGTTCTTGGTCTTCCTCTTTCGCTCCTCTACCTCCGACGACTCGTCAACAACCCTCCGCCCAGGTCGGCAGCGAAGGAGCCTGGCACGGACTCGCGCGTGCACGCAGTCCCGCTCAAGACGCACGAGAGCTTCTCCAATCCGTCTACTCTCGCCGACCACAAAGTCCCCGAACTCGTCGAGGCGCACCCGATGGAGGTCATGCCGCCGGTCGCATACCATCAGCAGCACGTCGCGCCGCCGTCGGAGGAGGACTACAGTGCGCGGAACTCGCAGAGTCCCGTCCCGAGCCATGCGAGCGTCTCGCCGCTCGTCGAGGCGCCTTTCTCGACTGTCACCGGCCAGCCGCTCTACTACGAGGCCCGCCAGCCGCAGCACCACGCACCGGACGCCGCCCTCGCCTCGCCGTCGAGGAAGAAAGGATGGATGTGAAGGACGACTCTTGTCTTGCTGCTCTAGATTCCCCGACTCTCCTACTCTCGCTCGTTATACACGTCTGTCTAGCCCTGTTATCGCTCGTTCACTCGCCTGCAAGAGAGACTCGCTCGACGTGCCCTCTCGCTCCTCTCCCTCTTCCTCCTCGCGAGAGTTCGCTTCATCCTCGCTGCGCCCGGCTGGAATGGACGTCGACAGTCCCGAAGACGCTCTACCACCCGCCCAGCGACTGCCTGTCGAGATCCTCAGCTCCATCTTCGACTTCAGCTCACCCTCCCTCGCTCCCCCTCCCCACCGACCACGCCGCGACATCCTCGCCGAGGACGAGACTGAGCGGGCAGCTGAGCTAGCGCGCTGTGGATCCGTCTGCAGGCAATGGCGGGCGGCGGTTGATGCATTGGGCGAGGTGCACTTTGAAACCCTCACCACCGCGTCGGCAGTTGCGAACCGAGGCCGGCGGGCGAGTACGCTGACGGTGAACGTCTGGGAGGATGAGTACAGCCGGTGGGGCTCGCTGCCGCTCTGGATCGTACCGGACGTCGACTCGGCAACACTCGCCCTTCATCATCCTCTCTCGAAGCAGAAGCCGCCTGCACCCTTCCCTTGTCCCGAATTGTACCGCTGTCATCTTCGCGAGGTCGTGCTGCTTGGAGGCACGGAGACCTGCGTGAACTACGCCTGGATCGAGCCGTGAGTCCCGACTATGCTCTCGAGGGCGAAACGTACTTACCCCCCTCACCAGGTTGCTGCAAGACGTGCCAACTCTCGAAGTCCTCCGTCTTCCCCATGTCGACAATCCCAGCATCGTACACGAGACAGCCCTGGACCTCACGACTCTCCAACTCGCCATTTTCTTCGAGTACGACAACTTGCTCCTCCACAACCTCCTCCCGCGCGCCAAGCGCCTTCGAAACCTGCACCTCACCGATGTACCGAAGCATGTCCATGCGCGTATGGAGCACGAGCCGCCCGAACTGCTCGCCAATCTGCCGAGCGTCCTCGCAGACTTCCTCTCGCAAATCACCTCCTTCAGTTGGCTGCTCGTCCCCCGCACTGGGCAGCTCGACATCCTGCCGCAGCTGCTAGAACGCCTGAAGCAGGTTCGGTACCTCGAAACGGGCCTCGGCGCCTTCCGCGACGCAACTTTCGAGCACCTCCCCAAACTCGTACATCTCCGCAACTTGCGTCTCGTCCGACACGCCGACACCCCCGCACACGATAGAGACTCCCCGTACTGGTCGTTCGAGGCGCTCGCCGAGCAGACGGCCCTTTTTCTCAACAACGACGAGCGAGACGGCCAGGTTCTCCGGATCGACGTGCAGGTGGAAGGGACGCTGGCGAAGTACGACGTTGCGCAGCGGAGTGCGCGCAAGTCGTTCGAGCAGGCGATGCAGGGACTCCCGACTGCTGTCTATCTTCTCGAGATTAGGCTGCATTTCTATCAGAAGCCGTACATCGCCTTTCCGTGAAATGAACTAGCCTCTCGAGGAAGTTTTCGCCATCAAATGATGCGCTGAACAGGGTATGCTTTTGCAAGAGACACGAACGAGAGTGGGCGGGTCGGCGAGAACAGACGCGCTGGAGGGGAAATGAGCCATACACAAAGAAAGATCTGGAGCGAGCGTTGCGAAGTCTAGGGGGCGTAGACGGCGTACTTGGGCTTGCGCTTGGCGGACGAGCGAGCCGAGCCGCCTTCACCGGGAGTACCGGTCGTCCTGGGAGGCATGCCAGCCGCCGAAGGCGGTCGAGTCGGGTTACTCGCGGCGGAGGGAGGACGGGTGTCGCCGCGCAGGTCACCACTCGTGGCTGATCGCGCGAGGGGAGGCGGATTCGTCGCAGCGCGAGTTGGCATCGGCGGGACGGGAGGGGTCTCGCTCATGAAGCGAGGAGGGCCGTTGCGCAGCGCCTTGCTCGGCGAGGCCGTCGCAGCTCGAGGAGGCGGAGTGACGGTCGCGGGTGATTCCTCGCCGCCCTGAGAGACGATGCAGCGAGTCAGACACGGTCATTGCAGCGGAAAAACGGAGGCGCACCTTGCTGCTCTTGTTGACCCAGCGCTTGAGCTTTTCGTCGTAGACGAAGCTCTTCTGCTCGCCAAGGTTGGCCTTGACGGGACCAGGACCAGCATTTGCAGGACTAGCCTCGCGCTTGAACCACCCGCCGAGCCAGCTCTTCGACGGCTTGATGGCTAGGAGAGGCGAAAGATCAGACGCGATGTATATGCTGATCAAGCGAGAGCACTCACTCGGCTTGTCGTCCAGCTTGGGTGCGCTTCCCGCCATAGCAGGCGTGGCAGCTCCCGAGCTATTCTCCTCAGGCTTCGGCCGCTTCTCCTGTGGCATCCCACCTTCTTCCGCCTCGAGCTCCTCGTCCAGAGTGTCGAATGCAGGCTTCTTCGACTTGCTGTTGGCGATGCCGAGGTCGGCGAGCTCTTCGGCGGTCGTCATGCGGCGATGCGTCTGCTGCTGCGCCTGCGACTGTTGCTGCTGCTGGTTGGCGGCAGCGATGGACGGGGAGACAGAAGGCGTGAACTGCGCCATCGGCGAGATGAAGCCGGACTCGTCTTCCTGCAGCTGCTCCTCGACGGCGGCGAACTGCGGACGGCGGGCGGACGGCGGTCCTCGAGGCGAGGTGGGAGACTGCTCAGGCTCGCGCCCTTCTGAGCGATCCGCATTGCCTGCGTTGCGGCCGGGGAGACTCGGCGGCGTGTACGACTGCCATGGCGGCGCAACATTCGGACTGTATTCGTAGCCGGCGAAGGCGCCGAGCGACGACGATCGTGCGTGATGCGTCTTGAACGCTGCGCGCTTGACAGGAGGAGGTCCAGGCGATTGGTGATGGTGAGCCTGCGCAGGAGGTGCCGTCGCGAGAGGTGAGGTCGGGCGACTGGACGCGTGTTGGGCGGGCATGTTGACGTGAAGAAGCTTCGAGCCGTTCATCTCGTGCGACGTTTCGGCACGCGAGAGGGTGCCGGAAGTGCTGCCCGGCGCGATGGAGGAGAAGTGCGAGAACGCGCCTACAGCGGCGCCGTTGGCTTGCTTCGCAACTTCGGCTCGAGCGGCAAGTTGCTGAGCAGTCGGTTGCTCGTCGCCGGCGACAAACTTGTTGAAGCCGCCCTCGAAGGTCGACCAGAGCGAGTTGACCGTGGGGCGCGGCACCTTGCGGGCGAGCCACGAGCCGCCTTCCTTCTGACCAGGTGCGGCGCCTAGCCGCTCGGACAGCGTCTTGATCTGTGCGACAAGGCGAGGGTGGTAGAACGGCGACGGTTTGGTCGCAAGCTTGAGCGTGTTGACGACGGCCTCGGCATAGCTGCGAGGGTCATTCGGTCAGCAACTGCGAGAGTGAGCGCGCTTGGAGCACTTACCGGTGCGCTTGCGGGATGTTGCCAGCATCCGCCAGTACCGCAGCGTGGTAGAGACGGAACGCCTGAAGATGGGGGAAGCCAACGAAGGCGTCATGGCCCTTGACGGTGGGGACGAGCGAGAAGGCGAATTCGACGAGCTCCGTCAGCTTCACGCTCTCGAGGTCGATAATTGCATCGCCAGTGAGCGGCGAGGAGCCGACGAGGGTGATGCGCGAAGTGGGCATGCCGAGGCCCTGTGCGAGCGATGTTTGGGGCGAGAGAAGGTAGCTGCGTAGTCGGAGGGTCAGCTCCCATCAGCAGTCATGCAGCGCCGCAAACGCACCAGACATGCGCAGCATCAGTCCATCCGTGCGCCGCCAACGCGTCGCCCAGACTTGTGAGGGCGGCAGAGTCGCCGGCAGTGCGGTTCGAAACGATCATGCCCACCGTTTCCTGCCACTTGGCGAGTGTCGAGGACGGCAGCGGCTGTCGCTCCTGCCTCGTCGGCGAATGCGGAGCTGACGCTGCGCCGTTGTCTAACGACGCGCCGTTGCGAAGGGCAGGAGTGCCCGGACCGAAGGCTTGAGGCGGAATGAGCTGGTGCACTGGGGAGAGTAGCGGCGTTAGTCGAGCTCGTCGATCGCAGACTGAGACGGGACTCACTCGACTCGGCTCCGAGACCGGCAAACATGCCGTACGCGACTCGCAAAGCCTCGCGGCCCTCCGCGCCCGGCGTCGGATTCTCCGCAGACGGGGTGAGCTCCGTTCGCAAGAACTCGACCGTCACCTCCTTCCAGCAGTCTGTGTCGACGCAGCTGGCGATGATGAAGGCGTGTGCCCACATCTTGCGGTCGAGAGCGTGCCGGACTGCTTCTCGTCGCTCGCCTCGCAAGAGGTACTCCGTCATCTGGTCGAGGTCGGCGGGACTGACGCCATACGTGATGAACGGAACGGTCGAAGCGTCGCTCGTTCTGTCGGGGGATGCAGCGACGAGCTGATCTGCGGTCGGCAACGCAGCCATGTCGCCGTTCGCAGTAGTTGATTCGCCGGTAAAGATGGCTCGAACGGCGTCGTCGACCTTGGCCCTGCGAGCGCAGATACAATGAGCATGGAGCAGACCAGCTCGGATGACATGGAGTGAACGTACGATCCCGTCAACTTGCCCTCGTTCTCGACCATCACCTTGACGAGCTTGACGAGCAATAGCCGAGACTCGACCTGCCGACGTCGATCATGCGTGCCGGAACCCTCAAATCCTGGCGGTGCAGCGCCGCGCGCGTAGGAAACCTCCTGCTCGAGCTCGCCGATGCGCTGGTCGAGCCAGGAGAGGGCCTCCCTGCGTTTCTTGCCGGCATTGGCCTTGCCGCCGTCGAGGAAGATCGGGCCGGGGAAGGCGGTACCGTCGGTTGATGGCGGAACAACCTCGGCGAGCTTGCGGATGTGGACAGTCGAGGGAGAAGAGGGTTGCGCGTTCGCTGCAGAGACGCCGTAGGGGTTTGAGCTGTCGGCGCCGTAAGCTGGCCGCCCGCCGTCGGGGAAGACGACGACCATGCGACCGCCGAAGCCGAACGAGACGACGGGAGCACGACGCCGCTCGAGTCCGAGATCCGCTGGTTCGCCATCAAGTGGAGACGCACTGCGCTGGACCTGCGCTGCTGCGCCGGCATACGGATTGTAAGGCTGCCGCTGCGTTTGCTGATGGGCAGGGGGAGCGTATGCGATCTCGCGCTGCTGATCGTAGCCATACGAGTCGGTCGACATCTTGCGACTTGGCGGAGCGTCGTACGAGTTGGCCCGGGCCATGGTCGACGACATCGGCGCTTGACGAGGCGGCACAGCTCGCTTGTTGGGCGAGGCGTAGACTGTCGGTCCGCGTTGTTGCGCCGGCGGCGTGACGGCAAGGTCGCGCGAGGGGATGTCCCTAGGCGGCTGCAGGTCTCGCTGGCCAGCAGGAGCGTAGGGATCGTACGGCTTTTGCTGCTGCTGCTGCGGATGAGCCTGGGCGGGCTGGTGACCAAGGTAGTCGTAGCCTTGCGCGTCTTGACTGTCCGCCCGCCAGTCCCCGCCGTACTGCGAGCTCGGCGTCGTCGGACCAGTCGCGCGGTCCTCGTCGCCAGCAGTGAACACGGTCGAATCGTCCATGCCGTACTGATGGTCAGTCTGCTGCGCATCCGACCGGGCGAAGTAGCTGTCCTCGTCTTCCTCGCGCGGCTCGGGCGTCTCTTCGATACCGCTCATCGTGGGCACGGGCGTGATGCGACCGCCGCCGTAGTCGTAGCGCTCGCCTCGGCGGTCCGCTCGAACTTCGGGACTAGGCGCCTCGAAATGGAGTTGCGGAACTTGACCTCGCTCCGGGCTCATCGGCATCTGCAGCGACGGCTTCGCCTGCGGAGGAGCTCGGGGAGGCGGATGCTGTATATTCTGAGGCGGTCGCTGCTGCTGCTGTTGCGCAGACAAGGGCGGACGAGCCGCAGCCGGTCCTCGAGGCGGAGGTGCTGCGGAGACTCTGGGCGGCGGTCCAGCTGCCTCGCGAGCTGGCGGTGGCGCGCTGTGCTGCTGTCTCCAAGAAGGCGGAGCGCGACTCTGCGACGGCTGAAGCACCTGCTGCGTCGATGGTTGCAACGGTTGCTCGCCAAGGGACATCTCGTTCGTATCGTCGACGAGACGGCGCTGCTCGCGCTGCCGCTCCGGCTGCGACCGCGTAGGCGGCTGCGAAAGAGGCTGACGTTGGGGCGGTGGTGCGAAACGCGGCTCGTCGTGCTGCTCCTGCTTAACCTGCTGATCGCGAGGCTTGTTCGGGACTGGAGGAGCAATGCGTCAGATTACGGCTTCTCGAGGCGCGAAGGCATCGGTACGCACATGCAGACGGAGGCAGTGCGTGCGACGTTGCCTGCATCCAGCTCGGCACGAATTCTTCCGGCTTCTCGGGCTCCTTCTGCTCAGGCGGGACCTCCTCTTCCTCCTCCTCCTCCTTGATCTGCTCGACCGTCTGAGGCGGCTCGTAAGCCGACGTGAGCGGGCCAGTCGGCAGAGCACCGTAAGGCGAGTCGCTGCCGAAAGCCGATGCACCGCGTTGATGAGGGGCACGAGGAACGGGAGGGCGCATCAAAGCGCCGGCCGTCGAAGGAGGCTTTCGCTGCGATGGCGGAAGGACTGGCTGGGACGGGGTGGTGTAGGCATCGCGAGAGGGCGCCGAGGGTGCCGGAGCGTACGGGGCAGAGGCGGGCGCCGTCGAGGCAGCTTTCTGCGGCGCGACAGCAGGAGGGCCCGCAGCAGCGACAGGATCGTCGAACTCTGGCGGCTCGTCGATCTCCTGCGCTGCTCGCTGGGGCGGGCGAGCTGCAGGAGCCGAGCGAGGCGGAGGAAGGTCGAAAGCCGGTGCAGCAGACTGCTGCCTGGGCGGAGGAGCTTGCCGTTGCTCAGGCTGCTGCTGCTGCTGTGGAAGCTGGCGGGCACGTGTAGGAGGCGACGCGAGGTTGAAGGACGCTTCCGAGCGCGGCGAAGCGACCGACTCGGGGCCTCTTCGAGATGGCGGTGCAGCCGTCTGCGAAGCCTGTTGAGCTCCGCTGCGAGGCGGGGGTGGTCCCGCTTGAGCTGGCGCAGGGGCTTGGCGGGAACTGGCGTTACTCGCGGCGGAGCCTGAACGAGGCGGGGGTGAAAGCGCCGCCCGACCGAGAGGGGGCGAGGCGAGACCGGCCGACGGAGCAGACGATCCCGTCTGAGGGAAAGGCTGGTGTCGCATTGGCGGCGAAGCGGGACCTTGCGATGACTGCGACGACTGCAGGTTGTAAGGGTCGTACGGGCGCTGCTCGCGAGCTTGGCGGCTTTGCGACTTGCCCTGCGATTTGCGAGGGGCGTAGGGATCGTGAGTGGGCTCTTCCGGCTGAGGCGGCTCCTGACGAGGCGATTCGCGACGCTGCTGCTGCCGAGGCGGCGCTTGTTGCGAAGGCGGCGAGTAGGGGTCGTAAGGCGCCGGCTGAGGCGGCTCGTTTGGCTGAGCGGAGGCATCGAAGGCAGCGCCGAAAGACGTGAACTGCTGCTGAGGAGGAGGAGGCGAGTACGCGGCGCGACTTTGCGTCGGTGCGGCAGGCTGCGACGGAGCGGTCGAGGGAGGTGCAGTGCGAGAGGTCTTCGGTGCGTACGGGTCGAAAGCGTCGTGCTGCTTCGGCTGTGGCTGCTGTTGAGGCTCGTGCTGCGCTTCTTGTCGTCGTTGCACCGGCTGTGGCGGCGGCTGGGAAGGTGGCTGCGTTTGCTGTTGTGCGGCGTACGGGTCGAAAACCTGGCTCGAGGCTTTTTGCTGCTGGTCGTGCGTGCCGAGCGGGTCGTAAGACTGCTGCCGAGCGAACGGATCGTTCGACTCGGACTGGGCAAACGGGTCGCCGCCTGCCGACTCGTCCGCGTACGGGTTCGAGTCCGCTGCGTAGGGGTCCTCCTGGTCGTGCGCCAGCGCAGGCTGCTGCTGCTCCCGACCGTACGGGTCGTGCGAGTCCTGCTGCGGCTGCTGCGGCTGATCGTACGAGTTGGGCTGGCCATATTGCGCGTACGACTCGGCGTTGTAAGGGTCGCTGGCGTACGGATCCTCCTCGTCCTGCGCATCGAAGCCGGCTGGCTGGCGAGCTTGCTGCTCGCTCTGGTCGTACGAAGCGGACGATGGCTGAGATTGGGTCGAGTAAGGGTCCGGCTGGCCATGCTGATTCTGCGCCGTCGGAGCGTAGCCATGCGCATCGTCCGCCTGACCGTACTGGGCGCCGTACGAGTCGTACTGCTGCTCGTATCCGCCTCGAGCGTAACCGTTCTGCGCTCCGCCATCCCCCGCCTGGCCCTGATCCGCCGCCGACGACTCGCCATGCTGTTCCCCTTCACCGCCAAAGTTCGAGTCCGGCAAGTACTGGCCAGAAGCAGCGTCCCACACCCAGCCAGGGTAGTAGGGAGCGTCAACCGCCTGCGACTGCTGCTGAGTCTGCGAGTCGTCCTCCGCCTGACCCTGCTGCGTCGAAGCCGCTCCGCCCTGCTCGCCCTCACCGCCGTAGTTCGAGTCGGGGAGGTACTGCCCAGAAGCGGCGTCCCAGATCCAGCCGGGGTAGTAGGGAGCGTCGACAGCCTGTTGAGACGAGTCGGCGGAGTACGACTGCTGGTCGTAGCCCTGCTGCTGGCCGTACCCCTGCGCCGACGAGTCGTACCCTCCGTACCCTCCTTGCTGTGCCTGCTGTCCCTGTTGTCCCTGCTGCCCGTAGTAACCGCCGCCCCCACCGCCGTACTGATCCTGCTGGTAGCCTCCCCACTGCTGGCCGCCGCGGTTCATCTCGGGCGACGAGGCAGGCTCCTCCTGCTCAAAGACCGTGTTCAAGCCCTGCTCGTGCGAGCCGTACGGCGAGGGCGAGGCGCGAGGGTTGAGCGAGTCGTAGAAGTCTCCGGATGAGTCTCCCGCTCCTCGCCCGTCGAACGGAGTGGATGTCGATGGGTCGGATGAAGGTTGTCCTCGTGAATAACCTGGACCGGGCCTGCTCATCTGCAACGAGCGTCGTCAAGAGCGAGCGAGGGGTCAGTCGTGTTCTGGAGAGTTGGCGGCGACTCCCTCTCCTCGCTGAGAGTCCAGCTGCGAGCTCACCGAGGGACTCGAGGCAGTAGCTGGCTCGACAGGCTCCGAGCTGCACTTCCGACGTACGAGCGCCGTCGAGTGTTGGGCGACCAACCACGTCCTTCGCTCTCGTCGAGGGTCGTCGGTCGTCCTCCTCCCGTTCGCTTACTTGTGGCTGGAACGCTGCTATGCTGCTCAGATATGCCCTACTTAGTCTACAATCGAGCGCTCTTCTCCCCGGTTCCCTCCCTCGCTTCCTGCTTCGCCTCGAACCGTGGGTCTCCTCTTCGCAAACGCACTCATCGC